ACTGTGTGACCTAGAATAGGTTAATAAGCCCATATGAACTTTATTTCCCTTATAAAATTGGGCATTGTTTTGTTGATTGTTTTCTTATGAAGATTAAACGAAATCTTACGCTGGCTGAAAGAGCCCTTTATCATCTCTCTATATTTGCTTATATCTAGTTAAAACTTTTGGCTTAAAATGTTTACTGTTGTTCTTATTTATGCTTGGCCTGGATGTGCCACTGAGTGAAAGATATTGATTCAGTTTGATTGGGAAAACAATGACTTATTTTCTATCTGTCATCTCTAAGGCAAAGGCACCAGAGACAGTTCTGATGCTTAGTCTCCTCTCCCCAAACTCATGGTCCTGAGCCAGTCTCATTAGCTGTCATATTGATGCCCTTTTCTAGTCAACTATCATTCAGATGTTATTCTCATATTACTTTCATCTTGGGCTTTAACAGATTGTAAATTCTTTAACCTTCCCCCTCTCTATCTTTTTTTTTGGGGGGGGTCATGAATTGTATACATAAAAACTTTGGCAAGAGCCTAAAAAATATCATATAGTTTGAGTTAGATGAAGGGTATGCTATTACGGTTGATCAGGGATGTGAACCAGTCCAGAATAGAACCCAGAAAAAGTCAGCTTCCCATCCATCCATCCATCTATCCATCCATCCATCCATCCATCCAATACTTATTGAGCACAAACTCTGTTAGATCCTGGAATAAACATGGACATTTAACAGTGAACAAGCTCTGTTCTCTCATGGGGTTTCTAATGAGAGAAGATGAATGAAAAATAGTTGTCATCAAATAAATAAGTAATATGGTTTTAGATATTGCCAAGTGCTATGAAGAAAAGTAGAGAGGATCTGAGGAGAACACTACCTTGAAGTCAGCAGGTGAAATTTCTTGAAAGCACTGGTTAACTAAGAGGTCTAGAAAACAGGAAGCCAACAAGATTTGGAGGAATAATCCGATCTTGGGTGATTGATGATAAAAGAGTGGCCACCAGAATATATCAAAAAAGGCCAGATGTGAAAGGATGCTTCCCTTTTATCTCTCTTTTAGCTTCTTTCTGGGAAGGAATTTCTCTAAGGAGCTGGGCCAAGTTGGTGCACATGAGGAAAATGGCTGGACCGAATTAAGAAAAGACTGCAGAAGCAGAAAGAAAGATTTTCTTTCCAAATTGTGTTTAACCCATTACATGTTTGGCAGGTTTTCATAATTGTCTTAATTTCAAAGACAGATCAAAGATAAGGTATGATTATTGCACAAAAGTAAAAAAAAAATCCCATCCTTTGGAGGTGTTAAAATAAAGCCCCCTTACAAATTCTTCACACAGATTACAGACTTCAGCACAATGCTTAGGTGGATGACTAAACGACAGCAACAAATTAGGTGCAATTAAATATTTTCAACTTTCCCACATACCTCAAACCAAAGCTGTGAAAAAAGGGCCTATCTAAGGTAATTAATTGCCGAGAAATATTTAATAACCTCTCCTCTGCTACATTTAACACGAGGCATGAGTGCTTTGTTTGGACTTAGTCACACAGTTCCCTGGAGCCACAGGCATGTTCCTGCAGCACACTAAAGGAAACAGCCTCCAAAGCATGGCTTATTTAATTTGCAACTCTTGCCCCACCACTTCACACCCAAATTCTTTATCCTTCGGGTACACATCATACAACCACAATGCGCTGCAGGAACATCCACCTTATAGGCAGGACTTTCATCTACCCACAGCTTCCTCCATTTTTGTGAGCCCATTTGGCTGTGTGGAAATGACAGCAATCAAGCTTCTCTTTTTGTAGCCCAACATGTCAAGGACCCTGCTGAATTCAGGAAAGATGATTTTATGCATCATTTTGCTCTAATAACAGAGTAGAGGCTCCTTTAATGTTAAGATTCTTTAGAGAAGGACATTGAATTAAAAGCATTGAATCCTGAGGTGCCTGAAAGTATCAGTTAGACAATGGAGTCTTGATTTTGGCTGGTGTCGTGATCTCATAGTTCATGGGTTCAAGCCCTATGTTAGGCTCTGTGCTGGGTGTGAAGCCTGCTTGGTATTCTCTCTCTCTGCTCCTACCCCTTCCCCCCGTCGCCGAAAATAAATAAATACACTTAAATTTTTTTTTAAATTAAAAAAACAGTATTGATTCTTGAGAAGCTTAGGTGCCTGGTGACCTTCGAAGTGTGTAATGCTGTGTGCCAGCTCTCTCCCCCAAACCCATTCCAGCTCTCAAGCATATTTAGAACAGGAGGCATTGAGAAAAAGTCTTTCTTTTTTTTTTTATAAGTATCAAAATATGTAACAGACGGGATGGTGGATAAATGTCGACTGCAGTTGCCAAATTGCAAAGGCAGATCTCATTGGCTTTGGATTTAGGGTGCTAGATGACAGTGGAAATGGGTGGTGTTATTTGCATCTAAGAAACTATTTGCTGAGCCAGTTGGGTTAGGTCTGAAGGTTTTGCTGGTGAGGAGTTTACACATCTGATTTCTCATATTTCTCACAGAAAGGAGGTTAATACCAGCTTCAGAGGTGGGAGGAACCTTTTAAAATTGAGCTTTTCCAAATCTAAACTGAAAAAAAGAAAGCTGCCTTAAAACCAGCAAAAAAAGAGTTGAATTTTATTATACGCCTTAAGATAAATTGGGTCTCTTCATCTTTTTGTTATCTATTTGACTCAAAATATATAACAAATATAGTTAGAATATATATACTTTTCCTTAGCACAGATGGCCAGAAAGTAAAAACTTCTTTTATTTTACTGGTGTTTTGTTTTCTACTCCATTTACCAGTTTTTCTGGCTTTTCATGTAGCCTACGTGCTATTGTCCTACTGTGCACACGATTGAGCCTCTCTTATCTGTTCTAACACAGCTTCTCTACAGAGACGTAGATCTGTCGTTCGGTTTGGTTTCACAAAGCCTCAGCACCACCCTGGTTTGTTCTGGTCTTAGCCAGGGAGATATTGTTATGTTTTGGAAATACCCCAGCCATGGAAAGCCTTCCAAATTCTCCAGAAGAGATATCTTTCTTTTTCATTCCTCCAGAAGTGTTATCTGGGGGAAGTTTCGGGGAAATGATCAGTGGCCTCAGCGCAGTCTATCTCAGAGAAGTGAATTTGCAGTCAGTGTCCATTTCCCAGAACAAGACGGGGTGGAGGGGTGGGAGGAAGGTCTCTTCTGTGTGTCTTAGGTTGTATGAGGAAAGGAGAGTTTTGTCAGTCGGCATTGAAAAGCTCACTGAAATGTACATGAAAAGAAAATGCCAGGCCTGCTATTTGTCATTAACTTGAAATTTTATTTTTTTTAATATTTTTAAATTTTTATTCCTTTTATTTTTGAGAGAGAGAGAGAGAGAGAGAGAGAGTGCGTGAGAGCGAGCGAGCATGAGCCGGGGAGGGTCAGAGAGAGAGAGAGGGAGATAATAGAATCCTAAGACAGACTCCAGGCTCTGAGCCAGCTGTCAGCACAGAGCCCTACGGAGGGCTCAAACCCAGGAACTGCGAGATGATGACCTGAGCTGAAGTCAGACGCTTAACCGACTGAGCCACCCAGGTGCCCTTAAGACTTGACATTTTCATGTCTTCTTGGTTTCTCCAGAGAAATCCTATCCGTGGGCGCAAAGGGAAAAACTCTCTGGAAGTTCTGAGGGTTCTCAATTGATACAGTTTTAGAATTTGCAGCTTTGAGTTTCAAACAACACCACGTAGTCACGCTGGCTTATTTCTTGCTCGGGCTGGCTCTTCTGGGCTTATTAATTTCAAAATCCTGACTCTATAAGGATTACATGGGTATTTCTGTAAAAGTATAGGTTCCTTGCCCCACTCCCAGAAATTTTGATTTAGTCGGCCTGGAATAAGGCCCAGAAACTTATAATACAAACAAAAATTCAGAAAAAAAAATCGGTAGGTGACTAATGCTTTGCACAGCCAGGTTGGGAGGCCACCACTCTTGTCACGCTAACCAGCTTGTTTTGGAACTGAACCCTGACCTCAGCTTCATTAGTACCACACACTGGATACAACAGCTAACTGGTTCCATTTGGGAATATATAACCTTGTCTCTGATCTTGCTGGAGGGCACTGATGTGAGGAAATAACCCTTACAACTATTTGCAAGCATAGCTCAAGGTGTGATTTCAATATCGCCCTTTAGTTCTCAACTATACAATTTCAAAAAGTGTTTTAATCTTCAAGAGAATATCTACATTTGAATGGAGCAAAAAGGAAACCTGAGCTTTTTAAAATGCTTTTTCCCAGTAAGAGTGATTTTTACATATTTTAATGAATGACCCTCTCAGAAATTTTGAATTTAAATCTTTTTTATTCCCAAGCAAGAATGATATTGCTTGTAATGATTTATGGTTAGAAAGAAAAGTTCTTATTATCTTTTACAGTTTTTTCCCCCTCTAGGTTAGGATGAGGTCCTGGACAAAGGCTATATGCAGTGTGTGTTTGTGTGTGTGTGTGTGTGTGTGTGTGTGTGTGTGTGTGTAAATGAGGTCATTAAACACTGATTGTTCATTATTTTCTTCAAAGGCAGGCAGACCTGATCCACTGCAAGGTCATTTCATTATTTGCAATGATGCATGTTTCTGTATGCCAGGCTTGTTTTGGCACTTCTTTTAATCAGTATTAACAGATAATTCAAAGAGCAGAGGATTCAGTTGGTACCAAAATGAGACTTAAGACAAAGGATAACAGGTCAAGAGAATAACTTTAAATTCAAGGGACGCCTGGGTGGCTCAGTCAGTTCAGCCTCTGACTTAGGCTCAGGTCATGATCTCATTGTTTGTGGGTTCCAGCCTTGTGTCAGGCTCTGTGCTGACAGCTCAGAGCCTGGAGCTTGCTTTGGATTCTGTGTCTCCCTTTCCCTCCCTCTCTCTCTCTCTCAAAAATAAATAAATGAACATTTTAAAAAAGAGAGAATAACTTAAAATTCTATCCCTTAAAGAGGGCAAAAGATTTTAATGGGCCAATTGATTTATCTAAGTCTACCTGGAACACATTAACCAAGATGGTTTACTGAGTAATCTCTCTCCGGCAGGAACACCACAGGTATTCTAAAAAGAATTTGGGAGTTCAAGAAAGCTCTGTGCTCAGTGAAGCTGAGCCAGGCCCCAAGGGCCAGATGGGAGCAATGCAGACTGATTAGCATCAATGCCGAGAGAGATAAGGAAGCATACCTAGATGCTGTGTGGCTGTGCTCTGGGTCATTGGTTCTTCAGTGTGCATAAGAATCTATTGGGAAGTTTGTTGAAAATTCAGATTCCTTGGTGCCATCCAATGAGATGCTGATTCATTAGGCCTGGAATCAAAATAATAATAATAATAATTTGAATTAGCTAGCACTGTGATTTAGATCACACTTTGAGGTTATACTGCTTTAGATAATTTTTATGGTGAAAATAAAATCAGATTTAAAAGTAAATATTTCTCCTATTTATAAAAGCAATGCCAAGACTATTGCAGAATATATGGAAAAGTCAGAAAAACAAGAAAACAACTCTTCAAATGCCCCTAACTTGAGCATTCCCTGTTGCTATCTGCTAAGATCTCTCTTCTTCCTCTTTTTGCAGACCCCAGTAGGTTCCCCTCCCTCAGCTTCCCCAGTTAGCACCTGCAGGTGGAAGTAATTCTCCATTTTAGCATGCTCAAATGCTAGTCCCCCCTTTAAGCCATATATCTCCTCCTTTGATTAGTCCCACTTCGATGTCCTACTATCATTTCAAACTTAAACACATCTAGAACGATCCCACTTTTACTATCAATACTGGCTCCGTTCCTCCTTTTTGTTAAAAGGAACAGTATTTTCCCCAATATATGCTAGAAACTTCTTTAATATTTCTGTTTTTCACATCACTGTTTTCTAAGTCCTTTTAAATAATTCTTCCCAAATGCTCCTTATAATTTTCCTTTCTATCCAAGGCACACCTCAGGTGGTGTGCACTTGAATGGCTGTACTGACTTTGAAATGTTGAAATATTTCCCTCTACCCTGCCCTGAAGCCCCTAAATACTCACTTCCACCTCATCACTCTATCCTTTCTCTTGGGCCCCCCAACAACCTTGCATGATTCAGCAGTTTCCGAGTTCACACCTAACCCTCCATCAGGGACCCTCCAGGACTCCCGCTCAGCCAGCTTCCCTTCTTGCTGGTCTATATCCATGTTGCACATGTTGCTAAATTTGTTGGTTATCACTTTTGCCTGAGTTTAGTCCTATAGCCCATCCTGAAAGGACTCTTTGTACCTTAAATACTGTAGCCACGATTCATCTACGTTTCCTAAATTCAGCTTCTCAGAACTTGAACTGTTTTGTGTATCACTACCACATCCACCTTCCTAAAAATCTGATGTCATCCTCAGTCTCCCTTGCTTTGAAACCCTACTGGAGTGCTTCTCTAATTCAATTCCGTAAACTCTCAAGAGCTTACTGTGTGATAAGCACTAACCATTTTAGGCACTGAGAAGTTACTTGGTCACTAGATAGAAAATATAGGAGGTTTAATATGAACACCAATAAAAATTGGAGAAGGCATAAATGTGATAGGAGAAAAGGTACAGGATTCTGTATAATCCAGGTGGACAATTTTGTTGTGAATATCATCCAATGTACTTGGGGAAATCGGTGCTTGTTTTATTCTGCAGCTTGACAGTCACTTTCTTATCTGTTTTTCCATGGTCTCATGCCTCCTATGTCTCGGTAACAACCCTGACTTTCCCTGCTAGTTCCATGATCTGACCCTTCTTTCTCCCATGGAAATGACCATGTTTCAATAAGCAATCAAATTTCTTAGACAATAGGGAGGTTAAAATTTTCTTTATCATCAAACCTTGTCAGCTGTAGTGGGTATGCTGCTGTGGTGTTTTTGAGCTTATGATATATTGAAAAAGGTTAAAACTGTTTTTTACTTTCCTTTTTCTATTACACAAATAAATAGCTTAAAATCGCCTTTGCCCCAACAACAAAAAATGTTACTTGCATTTTTAATCTATTTTAAATTTTATTTCTATGAGTATTTCTACAAGTATGAGATTATAAAAACATTTCTATATCATATTGAAATTAATATTATAAGGATTTTTCTTGTTACTAAAATTGATTTGTAAATGTAATTTTGCCATCATAACATTCCCTCACTTTCAAATCACTTAGTCATTCCTTGTTGTATACTTAGATTGTTTCAATTTCTACTACTGTTATAAACAATGCTATATTATCTACGATAAAAGTTGTACATAAAACTACGTCTCCTCTTATTTTCATTATATATATTCCGAGAAGTGGATTTATGGGGATGTTTAAATAGTTTAAGGTTCTTACAAAATATAGTCAATTCCTTTCTAAAGGATATTTTTAAATCAATTTTTATTGCTACCAATAAAAAAAAGAGATACTTTATCACACTGTCTTCAAAAAGTATTGCTTTAGTACTAAGTTAATAAGAAAAAAGGCTGCTTGTTTCTTTGGTTACTATTCAAAATTAATTTTATTTTTCCTGTTTGGCAACCAGTTGTAATTTTTAGTAGCACTGTAATAGCAGTACAAATGCTAACAATTCTGTCCTAAACCAAGGTTGAAAATGAATGCTCAGTGCAGTTCGAAGAGTATGTAGCTCAGAGTTCAGAGACAAAAGTATTTTTCTTTAATGCCAATTATTAGTTGTAATTGACTGTAGATCAATGACTTAGTCTGTCTTTGCTTCAATATAATATGGTAATGATTTATTATTATAGATGTTATGAGGTTTAAATGAAAGAATTGCTGTGGAAGTGTTTGGATGTAAAATTAGAAATGACATAAAAATATAAACTGATGCTATTTTTGCCTCTTCCAATGGTTGAGTACAATAAATATCACTGTCCCAGTTTGGATAAGATTTGACAGCTGCATTAATTCTGTTTTCATCTACATTTGTTGGTAACAGCTACATGCCAGTGACACAGTAGTTATTGATGTTCTCAGAGGTGAGAAAGATAACAGAAATTAAAGGACAAGATATATACACACAGATACACACACAAATTCATGTATATGTATGTGTACATAAATACAATTTAATAAGTGTTATCATAAGAATACGTAAAAATAGGGGTACCTGGGTGGCTCAGCCAGTTAACTGTCCGACCTCGGCTCAGGTCATGATCTCATGGTTTGTGAGTTTGAGCTCTGCGTCGGACTCTGTGCCGACAGCTCAGAGCCTGGAGCCTGCTTCAGATTCTGTGTCTCCCTCTCTCTCTGCCCTTCCCCTCTCATGCTCTGTCTCTCTCTGTCCCTCAATAATAAATAAACGTCAAAATTAAAAAAAAGAATATGTAAAAATATTGTGAATACAAGGAAAGTAAGAACAAAAAATTGCAGGAGAGTTTCCAGAGAATGAACTTATATGCTTAAGGTAAATAGGAATTCATTAGGTAAGGAAAGGAGAGGAATGACACTACAAGAATGGAAAGAACAAAATTCAAAATGGCATTGAGATGGAGAGATACAGGAATAATGACAGACTGGTATTTCTGGAATATATAGGGAGTCTGTAGGAGTGTAGAGACTAAGAAGGCAAGAATGTGGTTACAAAGGCCCTGTATGCCCTTTTACAGAATTTGTACCTAACCAGTTTCTACTTATGACTAACACTTCTAATCACTATTTCAAAATGGAAAATATTGGCCAAGACATAGGTAGTCCTTTCAAATAATAATTAGTATAATTTCTTCTTTTTGGGGGAGGGTCAAGATAAATGCTTTATTAATGATGGTCTCTGCTTAAGTTCAGGAAACAATCACTAATAAGCATTGATTCAGTTAGTGCCTGCAAAGTACAAAGGATTGAAGACACAGCAAGTACTGTACATAGTCTTAATGAAGATTACATTCTGGTGGAGAAGATAGTCATTGAATAACAACAAAAAAGTTAGCAAGAAAGAAACTGTAATAAATTCCATGAAGGAAATGAGTGCAGATCTTTATTCAAATAGATTCTGAAAGCCTAAGCAGTGTCCTAGGCTCTGGCAACTTAATGATTTACAAAATAGACAAGGTCAATATGCTCATGGAGCTTATAATCTTTCCAGAGAGTGATGAATTAAGAGAATTAAGAAGAAAGTAAATTAGACAAAGTGGTAAAAGGAGGTCCCTCTACAGAGAGGCTATTTAAGCTAAGAACTGAAATAATCAAAGAGCCAGGGGAAGAACATTCCAGCCAGGGGACAGAAATTGCAAATATTTTGAGGAAGAAAATGACTTAGCCTACTGGAAGAACAGAAAGGAGACCACCATGGCTCTGGTATAGTGAAGGAGATGGAAAGTTTAATGAGATATGGTAAGGGATTCCAAAAAGTTCACTCAAACTTCTCAGTAGAAAACTGGCTTACAGAGGAGGAGGAGTCAGAAGCAAGAAGAAAGTTTAATTTAGTAGGCTACTGCTATTGTCTAAGTGAGAAATTTGGTTGGCTTAGAGATGAATGGATCCAGATACATTTTAGATCTATGCATGGTGTGATTTCCTGATGAATTGGATATGAGAATTGATGGAAAGATAGAAGACATGGGTGTTTCCTACAGTTTTAGACTGAACAGCTGATGGATGCCGGTGGCATTTAACGAGATGTTGAAGACTGGTGAAAATAATAAGTTTTATGGGGAAAAAATACAAGTGTACCATTTTAAGATGCATATAGATAAATATGTGGAAATTTCAGGTAAACAGTTAGAAGCCTGTATTTGTTGCCCAGAGAAGAGATTGCTTCTAGAGACATAAATTTGAAGAGTCATCAGCTTCACAAATAAATTTAACTTTCAGATCTAGAAGAATTTTGATCAATAGCTAGGAAGAGAGGATGAATAGAGAAAAAAAGAGGACTCACAACAAAGCTTAGAGTTGGACACTGAAGGTAAAGCCAACAAAGGAGATTGAGAAAGAACAGGCAGAAACATATGAAGAAAAATAAGAGAAAGAGTGAAATAAGAAAAGATAAAAATAAAAGTAGAGATGTTATAGAAGCTATGGAACATTTTTCCCCCCAATTTGATCATTTTCCCCTGCATCTCAATCCATGCAGCTCAGTGGAGTTGATTCTCACCTAACACATTTGCCCATCCTCATCAATTTTCGGTTGGAAATGGCACCAGGCTTACTTAGTTGAAGTTTTCCCATAACTTGTGTTAATATTCACAGGAAAGAAGCATGTGGACCCCTCTCCCCCCAATTAAGACTGGTAATGAGAAGGATGATTGACACAGGTGTAGAACTGCCAATAGACTTCTTTTGTTGCCATGTGAGGTGAACTTGCTTAACAAGCAAGATAACG